CCTGTAATCCCAGCACTTTGGGAGGCTGAGGCAGGAGTTTGAGACCAGCCTGGCCAACATGGCGAAGGCTCACCTCTACTAAAATTACAGCAACAACCACAGCAACAAAGCTGGGCATGGTGGTGCACACCAGTAATCCCAGCTACTCAGGGGGCTGAGGCATGAGCTTTTCTTGAGCCTGGGAGCTGGAGGTTGTGGTGACCTGAGTTTGCACCACGACTCTCCAGCCTGGGCCACACAGTGACACTCTTTCTCAAAACAAATCAAAACAAGGCAAAACAAAATGAAAGTCTCCTTAGATCTGAATTGAATTTCAGCCTTGGTTCCATTGGTCACCATTGGACTACTTTGCATCTCTAGTCTCTGTTTCTTTAACTTCCAAAGGAAGTTAGCATTTTCCTTGCATGGGTGCTGAGGATTAAATGAGATGATGCGTGGCACACTTGGCAGATGGTGGTCAGCTCCCTCTGCTTTTCCACCAGTCAGTCACCTACAGTTTAAATGGTGGAAGGAAGGACCTGAGACTTTAGGCTGGGGTAGGAGGCATGGGGTTCTAGGCAAGGGAGGCAGTCTCTTAGGCTGGAGCCAGGGGCCAGGCGCATGGGCAGGCCACCTTCCTCTGTGGTCCCTCCCAGACCCCCTTATGCTCTTGGTTTCTCTGCTTTCTGATTCCTCTGGACCCTCACCCCTTCCGGGAGCCAGTGGTCAGACACCTTCATGACTGACAGGTGCACTCTCTGAGGACCCAAGAGAAGGGGCTGCGCTCCACCTCCCTGCCCCGTCTGTCCTGTGTATGTCCCTACAAGAATGCTCCCCCCTTGCCTTCAGGTGCCATCCCTGAACCCTGCTGGAGCTGGTGCCCAGAAGGAGCAGGCACAGCTCTGTGAGCAGCTCCAGAAACAACAGGGGTGCTGCCAGCACCACGCTCACCTGGTGGCGTTGGCCCTGAGGGAGCCAGAGGCAGCGGCCACGGCCACAGGGACTGGGAGCGAGTGTGGGTGTGGGGAGACCCAGCGGGCCCTGCAGGAAGCCATCGACAAGCTGCAAGTGAGTGAGTCCTGGCAGGGACCATGAAGGGTGGGGAGGGACAGGTCGCTGCCGAGATGTGACCCCACTATTTTGGCTCCAGAGAGACTTCATTGACATTGTGAAGGAGAATGCGGACCTCAAGGAGTGGGTGGAAAAACTAGAACTCGGACTCATCCAGCTCTCTGGAGAGAGAGACATGATAAGTCAGCAGGAGGCCAGGGCAGGGCAGGGGGAGCTGCAGGGTGCTGGGAGGGGGCCCAGTGTCTGAGCCTGTCCTCCCGCAGGAAAGTCCATCAAACCAAATGACCGTCAGAGGGCAGTGGCCAAGACCCAGCACCAGAAGAAGAACAATGTTAGCATGCTGTCCGAGGCCAAGGAGGGGATGAAGGTAAGGTGTACAACATCTCTACAGGGGTGAGGGGGATGTGGGTGGGCGTGAGCTTGGGTGCCGGCACCGGCGTGGCAGCTGAGCACCCCTATCTCCAGGTGAAGCTGCTGGAGCTGCAGGGGCCAGTGATGCAGCTTATGATCAACCACGAGGTCCAGCACCCTGCTAATGAGTCCACTCCAGGGGCCCCAGCCCCCCAGGAGCTTGGTGCTGCTGACAAGGATGGTGAGCAGAGCCCTCAGGCGGGGTGGGCAGGCAGGAGCAAGGGAGGCTGGCACTGTGCTCAGATCCCCACCTCCCTCTCTCCAAAGAATTTTATGAGATGAGCCTGGACGATGACAGTGACAGCCTAGAGCCTGCAGGAGGGAGAGTACATCACAACCCCACTGCACAGCAGATGGCACATGGCTTTGTGAGCTGCGGGATGGCCAGCAACACTGACCCTTGGGCAGCAGTCCCTCCATGCCATGCTTTTACCGGGTTGCGGCGAAGGAGGAAGTAAACATCACCAACAGCTAAGAGCTGCCCAAGAAATTTACAAAGGAACAAAGTTATAGGGTTAGTCTACATGTTACTTTATTTGAATGTTAGAGCCACACATGATGATTTCTGTTTCTAATTTATAGTTTACTTGTAAAAAAGGAGAGTGGGTCTTCGTGTGGCTTTCACTGATGTCCACTCTGGCATCCTTTAGAATTTTTCGTTTTTAATTTGATAATCATAGGTCATTAGCATGCCTATCGAGTTTGCCCTTACGTGGTGGGAGTTCAAACACACAAAGACCCACTACTGGCACAAAACCATTCTCGCTAATTTGGAATAGGCTGCCTTGGTTTTTACTGTTACTGCAGCATGTATATTCATTATGGAATTCAGATACAATTTGCTTATGTTCTGCTATGATATTTGATGGAATCCTAATCACAGTGAGCTCCTAATTAGCTCAATGTGTGCTTTGCCCTCACCTGCACACTGTTTATTACTTTGTGAGATGCCACTATGAGTACTGACGTTTAGAGTTGTTGAAAAGC